GAGAGCGATACTTTGGAGGACTGAGTTCTGCCCCCTCCGACGATTATCTGTATATTAACTTCCTATCGCTAGAGATCGCGAGAATCGATCTTCGATCGCGTTTCCAGCAACTATTCCAAGAACCTTAGATCTCTACAGAGTGCCACGGGCATTTAAAGTGCGATTCCTACTATACCTGTCTCACATTTTGCCCGAGCAGGTAGTATCGCCCAACTGTTCAAGGCGATATTCTCCGGAGCTCGAATTTGTATGTTTGTATACAATAAGTGGGCCTGAAATCCATGGTAGAATAAATTATTTTTCATATCTCCTTGACCCGAGTCTCGTCGAGCAACTCGAGGCATCTTCAGGGGAGTTCTCCAACGCAACAGTTCAGTTTCGTGGCTAAGCTTTCAAGTCATCTCAAATCCCCGATCCAAGCGATTCCACGTTCGTTTCTACGGTTCGAACAGAGCTCGACTCCTTCGAACAATGGTTCCATACCACCACAGAGCTCTCTCGATGATGCGTGCCAAGTCACATCTCCACGATATTCTGGTGTGCAGTCAGCGTTCTTTATGGAGAAGTCTTCGCGACAGTATCTTATCTCTCACGCGGAGAGTCCCCTATGAGAGGAGTCCTCATGCGGGGAGTCCCGTATACAGAATGTTTCTTATACGGAAACTACTTCATGAGCGAGGTTTCTTATACGCGAGGCTCCTTATAAGCGAGGTTCCCTGTACGAAAAGTTCCTTATACGCGAGGTGCCCTCCGCGCGAGGCTCCTTACCCGAAAAGTTGCTCATACGCGAGCTTCCTTATACGAAAAGTTTCTCATACGAAGCGGTATTTTCGGAAATGAAAGGTTCCTTGTACGCGGGACTCGATAAATATCCAGAAAGTGAGCTCGATATCAGTTGTGAACTTTCGCTGTGAGGAGGGATATAGAACATCATCTCCATTGCAAACCGGCCGACGGACGGGGGAGAAAGAGTGTTCGTTTTACCGAGAACTAAGCATGGTTTCGCTGTGGGGAGATTTTGCTCTGAGAGAGCGGAGGTCTTGTTCCCATGCCCCGCCCGTTCACTTCTCCGAAAATTGAGTTCTCGACTCATCCGCGCGACCGGCGTTTTCCACTCTCGCTCAATCATGTACCAGTTGAATGCATTTCTGTCACCCGCGTAGTGGATGAGTACGAGTAGGCAGCGAGCTCTTCGGAGAGTTTTACGTCTATTTGCGGAAGCATAACCTCGACTGACCAATAGCCTAGTTATCAGTGCATCTGTCATCTCCTGCGAAAAGCGGGAACGCTCTGATTCGCAGGCGACTTTCATTCTGTGCAATTTTTTCCATGGGAACTACCCCTCGGAGGTATCCAATCCGTCGCATTCTATGTAGCGCCATAATAATTGTGCACATCCATGTGCGTTCGTGAAACGTGGACGACATCTCCTCTCCTGCGTTTGGTCGCTTCTTATCTCTCGAGGCTCACTTTTCCCACGATGTCCAACCCGGTAGCTAGAGTGCTCTCGCAAGTACCGTCTGACCTCGCCCACGAACGCCTGACCTCACGCCTCCAACTCCCAAGAATTAGAGGCGTGAGACCTTCGTCCCACCCAAGACCCGACATTTGCTTGATTCCAGTAGCGGCTGCTCTGGGGGTGTGTTTCTTCTTCCTCTACCATGCAATAGCGAAACATTCCGCATTAGATGACATCGTGTCGGCCGTAGCTCTCGCTGCAGCAGTAGTGTTTTTTTGTTGCTGGCTCCCTGAGGCGTGGAGCTGTTTGGAGCCGTAGGAAGTAGCACTGCTATGACGCTTCAGGTACTGATTTGCACGTGCGCACGACCTTCTTTTTCGTTATTGTTAGAGTGTGTCACTTTATGCTTTTTGCATGAAGGACGCATCTTAAGATCATGCCCATCGTAACAAACGGCTTGATCGCCATATCGCCAAGACTGTCGAAGACCTCAATGTTAAACCTCGATACCTGTAAAACCATTGCGAATAAAGCTTATCATTATCAAATGCCTATTCCCGGACTTTTCTCATGAGAATGCATAATCAGGGACTTGGGCCAGATCGTAGCGTTCAATGGGGTGGAAACGGTCAGGAACGCTCAGCTTGAGAGCCGTAATGGCAAATTCCCAGGAGTATGCTCTTCAGCGTCATTTCCTCGATTCCCGGAAGTGTCCCCCGTGTCGATTCCTCCGCCCGCGCCCTGAGCACGCGGTGAGTGCTACCGAAGAGCCTCCTATCTCCATGAATGGGTTCCTCCACTCCGAGCTCAATCAGAGATTTATCATTCGTGCAATACTGATCTATTACAAATCTGATCGGGGCCGCATTCTGGTCGAGGGAAGACTTCCAGCGGAGCTTTGCAGAGCTGTGGTGGCATGATCTCCGCCCCGACCCTGACGGGTTCAGGATGCCGAAGGCGCCCTAATCTAGAAAAGGGCATCATCATAAGACTCTTTTCGGCCCGGGTGTGCTGTCGTTCGATGGGAACGTACTCTTTGTAAGGTGTGCAAGAAGGTGGTCTCTTCGGACAAGAAGTCGTCGGTCAAGCAGCACATCGGAGGAGCAAAACACAAGAAGCTTTGCGAGGAGAAGGAAGAGTCTGGATCGTCGAACGTCGTCCAAATGAAATCGTTCCTCGAAGCGACCAAGACACAGAGTCAATTTCACGTCGATCCCTGCAACGCTTTTCTATCTGCTGACATACCGCTGCGGAAACTGGACAATGACAAGCTCAGTGCTCGGGAGAATACTGCAAGCAACAAGTCCCTCCACCCATCACGTTAGGCTTGCACTATATCAAGAGCATATTGGAGGGAAAACTGGAAGACTTACGGAGCTTCGTGGGAAGCAAATCCGTATGGATTTCCATTGACGAGACGACAGACCCTCTAGGAAGATTCGCGGCAAAAACCATCATCAGAAGAAACATCCGTGTCCAGGAGTTTCCTACTCCACGCAGGCAATCTGGAGAAGGCCTTTAGCTCGACTATCGCCAAAAGCTTCATGAATGCTCTCAATATATAATACTTCGGCCTGACGGAGTGCATCAGGATAGGGTACTGCATCCGGGGCTTCTGAAGGTTGGGTCTCGATGAGCGATTTGTAGAGTTTGATGTACATCGAGGAGGTGGGGATTATGGAGCGAAATATGGTGTTGACTGTGGCTATGGTGGATTTGGTGAGGCTAACAACATGGGGTCCGGAGTTGAGACCTGCTGAGACGAGGATTCCGAGGTCTCTCGTGGGCAATTCGGATCCGGAATTCCCCGGAGATAAAAATGCCGCATATCCTGCGAGATTTCGCCGCGGAAAACTTGTAGCCTGAATTATGGGATATGAGACCGGCGCGCCGGTCTGAGTTTTTGTCTGTGACGCTAAGGGACTTCCTCTTTACGGTATTCGTCAGTCTGATGCGGAAACATGTCATGGTTGGCGGTTCCGGTCCGAGTGTGTCTCCTAAGACGCTTACGGATTTCCTCCCCGTAGTATTTATGAATCTCGCTCGAGGGAGAGAACCTGTGGATGATGGTTCCATTTCTTGTGAAGTATACTTAAACACCTCGATGGCGCCAATGGTATCCTGAGTGATTTATCCCGACCTATTCGAGGGGACGTGATAAACCGGAATAGAGCCCAGCGACGCGAGCTTCACGAAGCGGCGAAGAGAGCCAATTACCAGGGAGACCAGCTCCGTAATTCTCCGTACGAGGGACACCCAGGTAAGACGGCATAGGATGATCGACTCGAGAACTTCGAGAGGATAGCTCCCTGCAGCGCGGCTGTTTGAATCGATTCTCTGCAACGACTGTTCGTTGCACCGAGCATGTGTCTTGAGAGCTCACTGACCAGTCTTCCGAGCTGCCGACATTTTCCCCCGCGACGATTATCGGGGAAGCTGAATATATATGGCGCGGAGGTATACGTTTACTCCAAACGCTCTGGCCGGTCGGTCATGATCTAACCAACAGGCCAACGAGTGATCTCTTACTTTCCTCTGTACCATCTTCTGGATCCAGTTCCCTTGGACAGGAGTGTTTCAGATTGCCCGGAAAACGCCTACTTCTGCGGCATGAGGAAAGGCCGAGCTACCTGACTGAGTCTGCATACTACTCACTAGGTAGCGTGATATGCTCAGAATAAGGTGGCTTTGTGAGTAGATCGGGACGGTGCCTTTCTAGTCAAGATGCCCGAATGGGAATGGAATGGGCATCGCTAATCCTGAAATCTTCGCTCTTCGTGCACGGAAGGACGACCGAATCGAAGGAACTCCTTGAAAAACATGCGCATGTTTATGATGAGTCAATCATCTTGCGTGAAGACCTCGATTGTTTGGCATTCATTTCGTCACATTCCGATACTCGATGCAGGGCGTGATGGGTCGCTGATCTCGTTGCTCTTCTAGAAAGCGCGGTCTTTCGGAAAGCCCAGTGTGGACCGATTGATTGAATATTCGGGGCCGCCGGATGAGACGAACGGGAGTTTCCATTGCTGATCGATGTCGTCCTCATATCGACTTCAAGCTTCTTGCGATGCCTCACAGCTCACGACGCCAGTTTGCGCGGGAACCCTCGGATTCCAAGAAGGCCATGAGTAGCCCGTCTGTGTCCAACAACCAAGCACCTGCCGCTTGGCCGTCAGTCCGAGAATAAGGACGACTTCTTCAATCATGACAGAATGGCCCAGCTCCTGAGGGAGCACCATTCTCCGAAAGATGGGCTTGCGAGGACGAGATATGCGGTTACGGGTCGAGCTCCAGTTTTTCTCCTGAGAAAATCTCTCCTGGATGCTGCCCCATCAGATTATCGAGAGTACGATTTACGACTCCTCAACCCAGGTAGCACCGATGAGGATTTGAGCATAGAAACGTGCTCAAAATCAGCTACTCCCGCCCCGAACCGACTGCGAGTGAGGGAAAGCTCGATTTGGACGGACATGTCAGCAGTATCGCGGATCGCTTGTAGTTTCTAGAGGATTTCTTTGTATGGACCGCAGGATTAATCTGCGCGCCGGCTGAATACGGAACGAGCTCTTCAAGCACGGGGACGGTGCTCAGCGGCATCCCTAGACGCATGGGATGTTGTTGAGGCTAATTTCAGAACGGCAACGCCCATATCTCCTTACATCTGAG